TTGTTGCTGCTGCTGTTGTTGTTGTTGTTGTTGGTTGTTGCTGCTGCTGCTGCTCTTGTTATTGTCGCTGGTGCCGTTGTCGCTGTTGTTGTTGGCGTTGTTTTTGCTTGTTGATGTTGTTGTGGGTTTGTTGTCGGTGTTGTTGGTTGTTGTTGCTGGTTGTGTCATTGTTGTTGCTGTTGCAGTTTGTTGTTGCTGTTGTTGCCGTTTCTACTGCTACTTCTGCTGCTTCGTTGTCGATGTTGTTGTTTGTTGTTGCTATTGGTGTGTGTGTGTTGCTGTTGTTGGTGTTGTTGTTGTTGTTGTTGTTGTTCTTGTTGTTGTTTGTTGTTGTTTGTTGTTGTTGTTGTCGTTGTTGTCGGTGTTGTTGTTGTTGTCGTCGTCGTTGTCGGTTGTTGCTGTTGCTGCTGTTGTTGTGTACGCGGTTGTTGTTTTTGGCGTTGTTATTGTCTTTGTGGTTGTTCTTGTTGTTCTTGTTGTTATTGCTATCTTGTTTTTTTGTCATGCTTATGTTGTTTTTCTTTGTTCATGTTGTTGTTCTTGTTCCTCTTTTTGTGGCTTGGTGTTCTTGTTGTACTTGTCCGTTTTGCCCTTCTGTTGTTCTTTCTGTTCTTTGTGTTGTTCTTGCTTTTATTGCGCCTTTTTCTTCTTACCCTTGTTCTGCTAATCTTGTCGTTGCTGTTACTGTTGTTCTTTTGTTCTTTGTGTTCTTTTTTGTTGACGTAGCTCAACCGTAGGCTCATGGAGTTTTATCTCCCGCCGGCGCCGAACAGCATTTATTGACTTTGGGTAAATTGGTTGTGTGCACCACACGAAGTGTCACCAGTCTAGTCTCGACTGGCAACTTGTTGCAAATCTGAGCGCGTTGGCCAACTGTTTGCGCTTGTGCGCAAGAAACATAAGCCTGGAACGTTTTTCACAAGGATGGATGCACGCGTGAAACTGGTCTTGTTGCACACAAGAGAACATGACCTTTTGAACCACGTTGCTGTTGACTCAAAGTGGTGTGGGTGGGTTTTAAAACAAGCCCGACGCAGTTCCAGCCGCAACGCCTTTCCTTGCGAAGGAAACGCTCAAATGCGAAGCTCAAATGCGAGGGAAATGCGAACCTGCAGAGACCCTTGCCTGCTTGCAGCACTGTTGAGCCAGCCATTAGTGACAGAATATGCAGGGCGTGGAATTCTTTTCGCTCTTTTGCCGGGAAATTTTCTCAGGCGCGTTGCGCGCCTGTGTTAGGCGACTGTCTCTGACCCACAGTTTTAGCATAGATCGCAAGGCGCATAATCTTGTCAGATCGCCCACAGTCAAGCTGGCAACGCAGCGGAGGGTCAAACACTTTTATTGCAGTTGTTGGCGCGCCCCAATCTGATAGAGGCCATTTAGCCCCTGTGTTGCGAGCCCGCCTGACGGCTTCGTGGCCTTCGTGGCCTTGCCAAACTCCAGGTGTCAACTTCGAACAGGCTTTCTTGCCTACCCGGCAAAGTGTGGGCCTATTGTCAAAAGGCCAATCTCATTGCAGCCGTGCAACTGCCACGCTCATGCTCGCCGGGGCCGTGTTGATGGCGCACTTGATGGGGCGCTGCCACGGAGCGCCTACCCGCTGAGCCACCAGCTGACCAGACCTCAGACTTGTGCTTAGACTATGCTCTGCAGCAGGCCAAGACTGGTAGTTGTGTTGTTGCGGCGCCTGAAGAGATCCATGCCTCCTGGCCCAAGCTTGCCCGCCTGGTCCACTGATGTGCAGCGCATGTCTGTTCTGTCCGTTGGCTGTGCGTTGGCTCTCGCGTTCTCCAACGGGGTGATTGCGAGAGTTCGGAGCTGCGTGCCAGATTTTTCCTGGCAAAAGATCGCGCAGCAAGCGAGAGGCGATGGTTGAGAGCCCAAGAACTTGCCAACGAGGAAGCGGCCTACAAGGCAAAGTTGCACGCCCCTTGTCAAGAGATCCTTGAGTCCACACGCCTCTTGGTTTTTGGTGAGATGATTCGTGAGTCAGAGCACCCTGATTGTTGATTGGGTTGATAACATGGCGGTTTGACCTCGTGGGAAAAATCCTATCACCAATTTTTCCAGCCAAGCCTCCCTTTGCAACTCTTACACCTGACCAGGCGCACAAGCTTGCAGAGCCTGCCCGTAAGGGGTATTTGGCATTCGACACTCAGGTCACCCAAGCGGTGAGGAACTCTGAAGAAGGGTTGCTCTCGGGCCCTTTCACCCTTGAGGAACTCCCCCCTCAAGCTTGCTTGGCCCGACGCTTTGGTATCCTCAACGGGTGAAGATGGGTTTCCAGCCAAGAAGGTCAGACCAATCCATGACTTCACAGAGTCCTTGATCAACATGACTACACTTGCGTGCATTCCGTGGGCTTCATAGCGGCAGTTTTGGTCTACTATCACATGAGTCTGGTGGAGCGACGGAGACCTTGCAAACAAGGGCAATTGACCTCGCAAGGCTTCCAAGTAACTCCCGCTCTCGGATCAAGCAAGCCCTTCAGGGCAGTTTCATCCTGAACCCTGACACAGGCAAACCGGAGGCGTATCGCTCGAATGTCCTACCCCAACACAGGACGTCGTCAGCAATTTGGGCCGTAGGGCTTGTCTTGTTCAAACTTCACTGGAGTTGTTACTTCGACGATTTCCTCACGTTGTGTAGGACCGAGGAAGCCACCCATTGTGGCCGTATCACCCCTGATTTGGGCGAGGTGGGGCGGTGTGACTTCGCACCCTTGTGGAGCACACCCAGTGCGCAGAGACCTTCCCTTTTGTGCTGGCTGCGTAGCAAAGGCAAAAGTCCCGACGTGTGAAAGAAGATTCCACGGAATGAGTGGGTACTGATACCACAATATATATACACATGCGTGTGTGTGTGTGTGTATATGAGGCACGGCTTTGCAGCTTGTTCTTTTCAAAGATATGCTGCTTGGTTAACGCAACCTTGCTGAATGATGTTCGGCGACACTTGTGTTGCACCTTGGCCCCGGTGAACAGATAAGACGTAGCTCAACCGTAGGTTGGTGGAGTTTTATACACACAAGAGAACATGACCCTTTCAACCACGTTGCTTTCGACTCAAAGCGGGTGGTGTGGGTGGGTTTAACACAGACCCCCCGAAGTGTTTTTCGCTTCCGCCCGCCCGCCCGGCGCGATGTGACTTCGCATTCTTGCAGGAACACGCAAGAGCACACCCAGTGCGCAGAGGTCTTCCCCTTTGTGCTGGCTGCGTAGCAAAGGCAACAGTCCCGACGTGTGAATGAAGATTCCACTGAATGACTGGGTACTGATACCACAATATATACATATACATATTATATTCATGCGTGTATATGTGTATATGAGGTACGACTTTGCAGCTTGTTCTTTGTTAAAGGTATGCTTTGGTTAACGCAGCCTTGCTGAAAGATGCTCCGCGACACTTGTGTTGCACCTTGGCCCCGGTGAACAGACAAGTTATTTTTCTTCTTGCGTTGGTGTTTGTGCTTGTGCTTGTTTTTTTCTTCCTTTGTCCTGCTCTTCCTCTTGTCATCCTAGTCACCAGCTGGGCTGGTTGGCTCCAGATTCCAACGTCTCCCACTCAGCACCCACCCACACCCAACCACCCACACCCGCCCACCCGCCCACACCACCCACCCACCCACCCACCCACCCACCCACCCACCCACCCACCCACCCACCCACCCACCCACCCGACCCCACCCACCCACCCACCCCCACCCACCCACACCCACCCCACCCACCCCACCCACCCCACCCACCCCACCCACCCCACCCCACCCCACCC